AGTTGGGGGGGTCCATCCACCAATTGGGGCTTCACCAACCAGTTGGGGGTCCACCAACCAACTGGTCCGCCACCAACACCAAGAAATATTTATTTTTGTGTTCACGGAGGAGAAGGAGCAACTCTACGGAGGAGGTTCCTCACCACCCACCCTTCCTCCAACCCAACCAACCTTTAGCGGTCAACTCAACCACCATCCTCTTCCTCCTCTCTGGTGTCCAAGCAGGAAAAACCACAAAAAACCTCCAAGATGGAGCAAGAGCTGGAGGGGGTGGGATGGGGAAGCCCTCGGTGGACTTCAGCTGGTGGTTGGGGAAGACCTTGCCCACCTTTTTTGGGAGGGTTTCTGATGGTTCTTTGTCCTCTTCAGCCTGTGCTGGCTACAAACTGTGTCCCCAGGACTGGCAGCTCCACGAGGACCGATGCTACCGGCTTTCCAAGGAAATTGGAAAATGGGATCAAAGCAAGACCGACTGCGAAAATCAGGACTCTCAGCTGGTGGTGCTCCGGGATGAGAAAGAAAAGGTAAATATGGAGGAAAAGGCTGGAAAAGGACCTGAAAGTCCCTTTTTTTAAAAAAAATTAAATAGATGAACAGGAGAAAAAAGTGCCCTTAGTGGCGGGCTTTGAATTGAAGAGATTTCCACCCAAAGCTGCTGTTAGAGGTGGTGCATGGTGGTGTTCAAAATATGGGGGACGTTCGTTTTTTCATCTATTTGGGGCTGAAAAAACCCACAAACTCCATCCAACCTCCGTTTCCCAGGAATACATCAAGAATCTGATGGGCAGAAGCACGCAGCCGGTGTGGATCGGGTTGAGTTTACTCCAGAAGGAGTGGAGATGGGTGGACAACACAACCTTCGACACCAAAAAGTGAGTGCAGCCGCAAGCCGTTAGCGGAAAAAAAACCCATTTTTTTCCCCATTTTTGACCTCCAAGGTTCTGTTGTCCGCACCAACAGTCTTGTATTCCCCTTCCCAAAGCGGCACAGACCAAGAGTTGGGTTGATGGTTGAGAACCCAACGTCTCCCACCCTACTTGTGCAACCAACGCGGCTTTTAACGGCATTTTTTAAAATTTTATTTCAACCCACGCTCAAATTAATTCAATCTCACGCTGGGATGGTGAAAAAAAAAAAAAAAAAAGAGGAAAAACCCCGCCTCTGACTTCCCCTCTCCTGCAAAGCTTGGAAGAGTTTGCTCCTCTTGGGCCAAAAAATTGTTTTTTTTACAGATTTGGGACCCTGCCGGGGGTAGGATGCGGGACACTGAAAAACAAGGAATTGGAGATCGATGGATGTGACAGCGAACACAAGTGGGTTTGCCAAAAAAAGTCGTTCCAGCTCTCCCCAGCGATGGCAGAAGACGATGAGCAATACACCGGCACCATCTGACACATTCCCATCCCCAAACGCCCTACGAGACGCTCGCCGACAATATTTTGGGGTGAAACCAGCCCCATTTGCACCGTCACGGCTCCGTGAAGGATTTTGGGGTTTGAAAATTAATTTCCCGCGTGGGTCAAGAGAATTTTTTGGGGGGTGATGAGCCCCCCCCCAAGCTGGGAAACGTTTATGCCCCGGGAGTTGTGGTGGTAGAGCTACGGCGTCAATAAAAGCCGATAAAACCAGTTGGGTTTCAACTTATTTGCAAGATCTTGGTGGTTTGGGATTATTTGTTGTTGTCGTTCCAAAGTTTTTTTGTTTGAGTTTTTTCTGGTTTTTTATTGTTTTGGAGGTTTTGGTTGGGGCTTTTTTTTTTTTTTTTGGGAGCTTTTTTGTTTTTTGGGTTTTTTGGGTTTTTTGGTTTTTTTTACAAAAAGAAAGCCCAAACCAACCCCAAAAGCCTCTACAACATTCCAAGCCCATCCAAATCCCACCAAGTCACCAAATTCCCTCCCCACCTTTTTCTATCCCCCTTCCAACAGCAAGAAAAATCCCTTTGGTGAAATTCCAAACCTGATCTATAGATCTGACCTATAGACTTGACCGGCTCAGAGGCAAAAAATTCAAACGCACGTGGAAAGCGCTCGATCAGCTTTTCCCGTGATCTAGCAGCGAGGACAGATCACCGATAGCTTTAGCTTGGCTGAGAAGAAAGAGGCTTGGAAATAAAAACTCATAAAAATTGCTGAGATCAAGATTTTTTCACAAAAATCGGAGTTTTCACAAAAACTGGAGGTTTTTACCAATGAAAATTGTGCTTATTTCATCATTTCTTGGTTGGATGTGAAGCTCTTGTTTTATTTTTGATATGCTTTTTGCTTCCAGAGGACGTAGTTGTCCGGGCGGCTGCAGAGCCAGTTCTTCTTGGTGTGGCACATGGAGGAGCTGATCTTTTCCTGGTTGAGGTAGGCGCAAGGTCCACCACCCGACACCTCTAACCTGCAACGCCAACACGCTCAGGAGAGTGAGAAAAGGAGGAAAAGAAGCAAGCTACCCCCCAAAAAAAAATTTTAAAAAGTTGTGATTTCCTTCCTAGGAGAGGAGGCGTTGGGTTGAGGGTATCTACCAGGGGATTGGCGTGTGGCGTCCTTGGGCCATCCCAAACCTCCCATGGAAAGCCTGGGGCGTGGTGGCAGGAGAAGGTCCCCATCCCAGACCCTCTAAGCCCCCCCGGGGCCACTTCCAACCACACCAAGAGCCAAAGCCACCCCAAGAACCCAACACGGTCGAGAAGGACCAACCAGCTGTTCAAGGCGGTGCCGTTGGCCCACTGCCATTGGTCGCCCTCCTTCCGCAGCCCGAACCAATGGTTTGCTTCGCCTTTGTAGCGCTTGATGAAGATCTTTAAAGCAAAGAAACATCACAGTTGAGCTAAACTCTCATCTTCTCCACCTCTTCTCTTCCACCCGTGTCCATCAACCCACCCAGAGACGGTGCTTTCCCCAAGGCGTCTCCTTCCAACTACAGCGTTGGGTAAAATTTGAGGTCAAAAATGTTCTGGGTCTGGATTTTTTGGGGTATTTTGGTCTCTTTTTAAATTTTTTTTTTCATGTTTCCCACCTGGTCCTAGCATAGGAGCTCAAACCCAGTCCTCACCAGTTCCTCCACGGTGGTTATGGTGGCCAGTGAAGCTCCCAGACCGGTGCAGTTCTCCTGACTGCTGGCCCAGTTGCTCTCCACGTTGGAAAAATAATAACATTTCCCTTGGAAACCCAGCCAGCCATCCGGGCAGACGTGGGAGAAGTCCGGGTGAAGCGAACGGGACCTTGAAAGGACCGCTGAAAAAGAGAAAGCTGAGCGAGACACGTAGGCAGCCCTAAAAAAAGCAAGAAAATGGGATTTATTTGGGGTTTTTTCCCTAGAATTTGGGGACCAAGCGAGGAGCCAGGATGCCTGGATGACAGTTGGGTGTCTTGGTGTTGTTCTTGGTGGACATCCCTTGCCGCTGGGAAAATCCCAGGATCTTCCCCAAAAAACGCCTGGTCCCTCCCCACGGAGGATGGTTGGATGGGACTCACCCGTCAAAGCCACCAGCAGGATGAGGATGAGGACCACCAACACAACGCACATGGGGACGAAAACCTGCGAGGAGACGGATCTTCTCCAGTCTGACTTCCTGATGTTGGTCTCTGGGAGAGGAAAGAGCAGGAGAAGGTCTGGGCTGGGTCCTTTTTGTCCTTTTTCTGCTGGATCCTTGGGCCCACCCAAGGGACCAGGACAGGGACCTTTTCGAGGAAGGTGACCCTTTTGGAGATCTTTTTGGGGACCTTCAGGAGGGTGGGCTGACCTCGCAGAGGCCCAAGGTGGTGCCTACAGGAGCAGACGTGGGTCCATCCAAGACACCGATGTGCGTTTGGGGACCTGGAGATGGATTTGGGGCTTTTCTCCACCTTTGGAGGTGTCCACATCCCAAAATTTGGAGTAGAAGCACCTGGGTTGGTAGGCACCCACCCCAAAACCCCCATCCCACCGCTGCTCCACCAAGAGCGAGATTATTTTTTTTTTTTCCCCCCCAATATTTACCCCATTTGGAATTTTTCTCAATGTCGTCGCTGGTTTTCAAGGTTTCTTCTTGATCTGAAGGAAGTTTCTGGGAGCCTTTCCCCATAGCTGCTTTGGACCAGCAGCTCAGGTCCACCGGCTCAGCCAGAAAGGCGGCTCAAGTGGTCTGTTAATGAGGAAAAGGATGAGAAAAAAAGGAAAAAAAAAAGGAAAAAAAATTTAAAAAAAGAAAAAAGGAAGAAAAATAAAAAAGAAAAAAGAAAAAGAAAAAACAAGGAAAAAAGAAAAAAGAACAAAGGAAAAAGAAAAAAGAACAAAGGAAAAAGAAAAAAGAAAAAGGAAAAAGAAAAAAGGAAAAAGAAAAAAGGAAAAAAGAAAAAAGGAAAAAAGAAAAAAGGAAAAAAGGAAAAAAGGAAAAAAAAGGAAAAAAGAAGAAAAAGGAAAAAGACAGAGAGAAGATTAAAAGAGGGGGGGAAAAAAAGGGGGGGGGGAAAAGAGAGAACCGAGAGAGAAAATAGAGGGGAAAAAGGGACAGAGGAGGAGAAAAAAGGGAGAGAAGAGGGGAAAAAAAAGGGAGAAAAAAGATAAAGAAAAAAGGAGAGAGGAGGGAAAAAAGGGAGAAAAAAAGAGCTAACTTAAAAGAGACTTTAAATATTCAAATATATTAAAAGAAAAATAAAAGTTATTAACTGCTGACGGTGTCAAGGGAGTTGAAGTGTCGGGAGCCTTCGCTGCAGGGAGGGAGCGAACCCCCCAAAGGTCGAAGCGTGGGGGTTGGGCAGCCCAGAACCCCCCAGGAGGGGAGGAAGCTGAGTTCAAAATCAAACTACTGCAACCGTTCGCGTTGAGCAAATTTGTTTTCCTTCACGGAAAAAGCCACGTAGCGTGGTTCCTCCCACAAGCGAAGGGCAAATTTGTTTTTTTACACATGAGCCAATGGGTTGCAAGAGTTTTTATTCCACCCCTGGAATAAAAGCCTTTTGTATTTTGATCTTATACAATAAATTACTAAAAGCTCAGCAAGAACTCGCTCTGACAAGTTGGACTTGGCACAATAAGGATATTTCATTCCGGGAATAAAAACTAAATTTACATAAAGGCGTAGTTTTGATTGTCGGTAAATAAAGAAGCAGGGAAAAGTGCAAAGAAATAAATTCCGTTCCTCTGCAAAAAGGGGGTTTGCAGAAAGAAAAATTCAGAAAGCAAAAATTCAGAGAGCAAAAATTCAGAAAGAAAAAATTCACAAAAAATTCAGAAAGAAAAAATTCAGAAAGAGAATTCAGAAAGAAAATTCAGAAAGAAAACATTCAGAAAGAAAAAAAATCCTAAAAAATTCAGAAAGAAAGAAGATTCAGAAAGAAAAAATTCAGAAAGAAAATTCAGAAAGAAAAATTCAGAAAGAGAATTCAGAAAAAAATCAGAAAGCAAAAATTCAGAAAGAGAATTCAGAAAAAATTCAGAAAGCAAAAAATCAGAAAGAAAAAAATTCAGAAAGAAAACTCAGTGCTTGAAGACCTGCTCTAGAGTTTCAAGAGCAGTTTTAGGGTTAAATTTAGCAGAAGGGAAGAAAACCAAGTCATAACAAGGGTGAGTGTGGGTGGGACGGTGCTTTCCTGTCGCTGGAGGTCCCCAGAATTCAAGGGGACGGAGCCCAGACTTTGTCCTGGCTCGGAGCAGAGTCAGGGAGCTGCTTGTGCTGAAGGGTTGATATAACATGAGAAGAAATCAAATATATAAAATAGATGAGAAACGAGAGTATTGCCTTGAGATTAGAAAAGAAAAACAAGTTCGCGGCGCCAGCTTTCGGTTTCGTCATGAAACCTTTTGTTCTCCTTTCTGTTCCGCTTCTTGGAAACGACGATTGTAAAAATTTCAAATAATTCGCTTGAAAAAAAGACCCTACGGAGGTTCGTGGTTTTTTATCATCCCCCCCAGAATTCCTGCCCTGGTTTTATCCCACTCCCCCCCAAATCCCTGGGATACGATGCAAACCCCCGTCTTTTTTTTAGAATATAATTATTCACCATTTTTCCCCACTATTTTTTTAATTCCCTCCGAGAAAAAGCAACCCCCCAGAAAGGGCAGGAAAAAAATTTAGTGCTGAAAAGAGCTTAGACAAAGCAGCGAAAGAGAAAGAAAACAATTAAAAGGCAGGGGGGGGAAAAAAAATATAAAAGGCAAAGAAAAAAATTAAAAATCAGATAAAAAAACCCCTACATCCAGAAACTCAAAATAAAAATAATAGAGGAGGAGGAGAGGGCATGGTGGCAAAATAATAATCTGAAAAATATTTTTTTTTTTTTAATTTTTTTTTTCCTCCTTTTGATTTTCCACATTTAATTTCACCGGTTGATGATTTCAACCCCCCCCCAGGTAAGTGTCGTCTCCCCAGGTGGGTCCTCCCCATCCCACCCCCAGCATCCCTCCAACCGGTGCCGACTCCACCGCCCGAAATTTTTTAGACTCAAAAAAGCCGCTTTGCCCCGAACTCACCCTTTTAACGCAGGGCGTCTCGCTGCTGGTAAACAACAACTTCCTGAAGCTGCTCAGATATCGTTGCACATAGTGGGAGGGACGTTCCCTCCCCGACGGGGAGAGTTCCTCCTGCTCCGTTTCATCCCAGAAGCTCGGGGGGGGATCGTTCTCGGGATCGTTCTCAGGGGGGGATCGTTCTTGGGGGATCTCCTTGGGTTTGGAGCCAAGACGAAGCGGTGGCATCTCGAAGGCGTTGGTTGCGTGAAGTTTTTGCGGTGTTCTGACTTTGGCTGGAGGCCGTCCGCCCGCTCAGCCTTTCTCTCGCTCTTTTTTTTTTTTGGTTTTTGGAAGAAAAAAAAAAAATGAAAGGTTCATCGGTGGAGATAACGACAGGGGGAGGGAGTGCTGGTGATTAACATTATGGGCAAAACAGGTTCAACTCGGGGAAATTAATTTATTATCAATCCAAGCAGAGGAGGGTGATGAGAAAAGAAAAATAAATTTTAAAATACCTTCCCTTCTTCCTGGGCTCGACTTTATTCCTGATTTTCTCTCCACGGGGTCACAGCCTCCTCTGAGCACCCGCCCGCTCCGGCGTGGCGTCCTCCGCGGGCTGCTGTGGGGACAGCCTTCCTCGCTGTGGTCTTCATCACCGACTGCAGGGGAATCTCTGCTGCCATGTGGAGTGATGGGGAATCTCCACCTCCACCTTCTCCTCCTCCAATCCATCTTCTCCTCCTCCTCCAACTCCACCTTCTCCTCCTCCTCCAACTCCACCTCCTTCTCCTTTTTTCTCCTCCTCCTTCCTCTCCTTTTCTTCTCCTCCTTTCTCCTTCTCCTTTTTTCTCCTCCTCCTCCTCCTCCTTTCTCCTTCTCCTCCTCTTCCTTCTCCTTTTCTCCACCTTGCTCCTCTTTTCTCCTTCACCTCCTCCCTTCTCCTTTTTTCTCCTCCTCCTCCTCCTTTCTCCTTCTTCTCCTCCTCTTCCTTCTCCTTTTCTCCTCCTTTCTCCTCTTTTCTCCTTCACCTCCTCCCTTCTCCTCTTTTTCTCCTTCCTCTCCTTTTTTCTTCTCTTTCCTCCTCCTCCTCCTTCCTGCTTTCTCCTTCTTTTTCCTCCTTTTTTCTCCTCCTTTCTCCTTTTTTCTCCTTCACCTCCTCCCTTCCCCTTCTCCTCTTTTTCTCCTTCTTCTCCTTTTTTCTTCTTTCCTCCTCCTCCTCCCTCCTGCTTTCTCCTTCATCTTCTCCTTTTTTCTCATCCTCTCTCCTCCTTTTTTCTCCTCCCTCTTTTCTCCTTCACCTCCTCCCTTCTCCTTCTCCTTTTTCTCCTTCCTCTCCTTTTTTCTTCTCTTTCCTCCTCCTCCTCCCTCCTGCTTTCTCCTTCTCTTTTTTCTCTTTTCTCCTCCTTTTTTCTCATCCTTTCTCCTCCTTTTTTCTCCTCCTTTCTCCTCCTCCCTTTAACAGCCCCAGTCACCCACCCAGGATTCAACCTTAGGTTCAGGATTGAGACCCAAAGTGGCCAATAATCTATTCCATAACACACACCATGCCCCATATAGCAGCGACGACCCTCCGGAAGCTCATCCCTTTTGGTTCCGGATCCCTTTCGGTTCCGGATCCCTTTTGGTTCCGGATCCCTTTTGCTCGAGGTCATCTCGCTCCAGGTGGTCCCTCTCCCAAATCCTTCTCCCTCCCTCAGCTCTCAGTCTGGGACGCTTGGACCGTCATCCCCGTTCCGTGAGTGCGTTTTCGGGACCGTCCCTGCTCCGGGATCGTTAGCCGGGAA